TTCCACCCTCTCAACACTGTCACCCTGGGCACCAAACCCATAGCATAAAAACCTCAGGGGCTGGCTGCATCCCAGTTGAGTTTCACAATCACGATGTGGGTCAAGACCTCTTGTTATATTCATGTCACGATTGATGCAAGTGGGGTGGGCGTTAAACTGTGTCCCCTGAAATTTATACACTGAAGTCCTAGCCCCAAGGACACTAAAATGTGACCTTAGTTGCAGGTGGGTTTTGCCCAGAGGTAGTCAAGTTAGAAAGAGATTGTTGTGAGTGGACAGGATGCCGCTAATCCAGTACGACTGGTGACCTTTATAAGAGCGGAGATGCATCCAGGGACAATGCAGGTGAGGAAGATGCTTCTACAAGCCAAATGATGCCAAAGGCAGCCAGCAAACTGCTGGGAGCTGGGAGAGAGGTTGAGACAGACTCTCCCTCCCAGCCCTCAGAATAAATGAGCCCTGCTGGCACCAGTCTTAGACTCGTCACCTCCTGCACCGCGAGGCTAGGCATTTCTGCTTTTGCAGCCACTCAGTTTGTAGTATAGTCAGCTTTCCACATCCACGTATTCCACATTTGTGGATTCAACCAGCCACAGAATGAAAATATTTGCGGGAACACGTGTCTATACTGAACATGTATAGACTTTATTTTTCTTGCTATTATTCCTTAAAAATACAACAATTTACACAGCACACAACATTAAATATTATAACTAATCTGAGGATGATCTAAAGTACACAAAAGGATGTATGTAGTTACATGCAAATAATATACTGTTTTATGCAAAGGAGCATCTACTGATTTTGTTATCCAAAGGTGTTCTTAGAACCAAGGGTTGATTGTACATTGCTGTGAAGCCCTAGCAAGCTAATAATACATGGGAGCTGATACAGTGGGAATGTCTGGAACAGTCACGTTGTTAACTGGCTCGCCTACAGCTTTCCCAATGCTCTATTAATCTGTCTTCTATTGTGTAGACTGGAGAAGCAAAATGACTGTTCATAGTTTCTCATGATGTGGCCAATGAGATCCAGTCTCTGGGAAGTTTCTGGGAAGAATTTGCTCTCTGTAAGAGACAGATAGGTGTCTCCTCCATCCTCCAGCCCCCGGTTCATCACCTCCCCAGCTGACAGATGCAGTGCTCAGCACTACAGTGAGCAAGATGTCCAAAGGGTCTCTGAGCTTCTGGTGCTTTTGTGGCTGAGCCAGTACAGCCAGATTTCTTGAGTTGAAGGAAAAGGAGGCTTTGATTTGTTTAAGTCACAGATTTCCCACCACATTCCAGTTGCTCCAGGTTCCTAGGTACCCAGCATGTGAGCCAAACTCTGACTAGACCCAGTGCACTACAGCTGCAGTGCCCACTGTATGAGACCTCTGTCTATGGACAGTTGGGTCGCAGATCCTAGAGCCCAGTGCTTTCATTTCTGTTGTCCGACAGCAGTCAGAAGAGATGCAGGGAAGCAGCAGCTGCCAGCCCAGGAACACAGAAGGGACAGAAACTGCAAGAACCCAGCACATGGGAGCGGAGTGGAGCAAAGAGGGCTACAAGACACCTCACAGAGCCCCATTCATTCTCGTCTGACTTGGCCCTCAGGCTCAAGAGCGAGCTGCACACACTTCTAAGTCCTTTGAGGTTAAGAAGGAGGTGGTAACCAGCTGCAGGAAGGGCAACAGAGCTTTCTGGGAGGAGGGGCATTTTGTTCCAAGGGTTATCACAGGAGAGTGACATGCAGTGGGCTAGATTCACTCTGTTAGACCTTTTTCTTACTTCAGCTTCAACTCCCCTTTTCCTATTTGTTTATCTGCTTTCCATATCTATCCTCAATAGCAAACACAGTGTCTTTTATACATGAAGTTCTCGGCAAATAGTTGCTTAAACTTACAAAAATGGGGAGGCTGCCTGACTCATAATTTTCCTGACCTCTGTTATTCTTATAATGGATGCTGCCTTTCTAGGCAGAAAGAGAAGGCAACATTTTGGCTGGGTCATTCAGCCAGATCTTATCCAGAGACCATGGTGATTGGTTCAAAGAATGATACGTGATTCTAGCTAGATTCCGAGGAAGTCCTCGGGATTTTAAAAAAGTCAGAATCAGGAAGGATTTATTCTCTTCTCTCCTCATGAGGTTCTAAGAATGTGAGAAACCGTGACACATGGAATTTAAAGAAAAGCTTCGAAAGTGTGATGTGCTTCAACCCAAGCTGCCTTTGAGCCATTCCCCACACACCTCTCGGATAACTGGAATCATAACAGTGATCCTAATAGTACAGACAATCCAGCTTTCACTTACAATTTTTCAGCTTTCTGGTGGTGTGAAAGCAGTACTCATTCAGTAGAAATCAAACTTAAAATCTAGAAATTTGATCTTCTTAGTGCGAGTGGTGTGTGGCACAATGGTCTGCAAGATGTTGAGCAGAGGCAGTGAGCCACAGCTCCCAGACAGCCTTGCAATGAGGACAGAGAACAACAGGTGTTTCAGGTGTGCCACAGTGTGCTAAGCTAGAATATTCATGTACTAAATGCGTTTTTTCAGTTTAAGATATTTTCAACGTGATGGTTTTACTGGGAGGAAACCCCATTGTAAGTGGGGCAGTACCTGTACTGACTATGAAGTGGGCATTTGGGACGAGTCAGCCAACTTTGAAGATGCTGTCAGTCCTGAGCTAATGGTAGCCTCTCCCTTCTCTTTCCTCTTAGGGTACCATACTTGCCCCTATTTCATGGCAATCACCATGTCTTGTGTTGAATGGTTCATGCTTCGTCATTTTCTGGTTACTTACCTATGACCCTGGAACGGGTTATAAAAAACAACATGGTCTCATCTTAGCCTCAGGTATCTTGTGCATGACTGAACTCTTACACTGAACCGGTCTGAAACAAACACCCTGAAATATTGCAGGAGATAAAACCAGAAATATTCATGGCAATCACCATGTCTTGTGTTGAATGGTTCATGCTTCGTCATTTTCTGGTTACTTACCTATGACCCTGGAACGGGTTATAAAAAACAACATGGTCTCATCTTAGCCTCAGGTATCTTGTGCATGACTGAACTCTTACACTGAACCGGTCTGAAACAAACACCCTGAAATATTGCAGGAGATAAAACCAGAAATATTTATTTCTTGTTCATATATCACACACGGATAGCCCCTTGTTCACATTTCATTGGTTGAAACAAGTCACGTGGCCCTGCAAATGAGAAAGGGCAATCTGTCCAAGGGAGAAGTTCTGTGCCATATACTGTCTACTGTGTTCTCTTCCCTTCACCACTGAGCTGCATCATGCTGCCCCCTAACTTCCACAGGACCCCTCCAGGTGCTTTGTGCTTTGTACATTCTCATGGATGGCTTCTACTCTTTTCTTCCTACCATTGATCACAATTGCAACAAATTCTCAGGACATTGTCTATTTAATGTCTCTTTTACCCACTGGACTATAAATGGCTTTGGGGAAGGTCAATGCCTGTCTGATGTTAAAGTACTTTAACTGAATTTAAATGAAGTGCTGTTTAATTGCTGTAATCTTGCACTTAGATCAGTTCCTGTTGCATACACTACCAGTGAGTTTGTTCATGAATAAAAGAATGAACAAGAAAAGAATCCATGAAGGAGTTTTCACCTATTCTTTTCTTGTGGTAGTGCAGCTGTTGGTATCTGCCAGGTTCTGTTTGAGGGCCAGGGATGGAGAAATGGATTGCACCCCATTGTCTGGCCATTTTTTTGAAGCCCATCATTTGAACAGAAGCTTGTCCGTTCTACCTACCATGAAACCAAATTAAATTTCCAATAATGAGCTGCTTATGATCAGCAAAAATGGTGACTTCAAATGGTTCACCTAAATCTGAAATAGATGAGAGGCCTATATGAACCTATTTAGTGTTTCCCTATCCCTGCAGCACTCCTCAATTTATTTTCACAGCTTTGTAGTATGGATATTTCTGAATGCAATGATTTTCAAGTTCTAACTGAGCTCTAGTGCAGGACTCCCAGGCATTGCAACCCTAGAAACAGCTGAGGGCAGTGCCCCTCCCAAAAGCTGACTATGGCATCTGATGTGCAGAATGCAATGATTTTCAAGTTCTAACTGAGCTCTAGTGCAGGACTCCCAGGCACTGCAACCCTAGAAACAGCTGAGGGCAGTGCCCCTCCCAAAAGCTGACTATGGCATCTGATGTGCCTGAGATCCTCAAGGGGGTTCCCCTGCCTCCAGGACCTACATATACTGCTGTATGCAGTGTCTTCTCCATGGTCTTTCCCCCATGACATTGATTCTTGTGCTAACTAGGTGAGAAATTGCAGCAGGCTTTCTTTTCATGGCTATTCCATGCATCTCTGTCAATGCTGGTTTACATTCTGGGATTGAACTAATTTGTTTCCTGGTTGCTCCTGGCTGCAGGCTTCAGACAGCTCTGCTTTGCTACCCTGTGCCTGCAACTTGGCTCCCTCTCTCTGCTTCCCTCATTCCCAGCTAACCACATCTGAAGGCAAGAAGGATTAGTGGGCTCAGTGTGATGCAATTCGGGCTCTTGTAGCTTGGCCACTCCTGCTACACTGAGGGGGTGGGGAGATGGAAGGCTCTGCTGCTGTATGAAAGAAAGAGGAGGGGGAGACAGCCTTCCATGCCACCTTAGCTGCCATCCAACTGGAAGCATCCCTATTTTGACAGTGAGAAAGTGAGGGTAATCATCATGACGATCATGATGATGATGATGATGATGATGATATGATGATGAATATTTACTAAATATTAAACTCTTGCCTGCACTAATCTCTGTTCTTTCATATCACACACTTCTATCATATCAAATAACACTTATCAATGATGAGATGTCATTATCATGTCCATTTTATATCTGGAGAAACTAGGACCTAGGAGAATGCAAGCTTCAACGTTTGATGTGTCTGACTCGAGAATGATGTCCTTACCATTGCTTCTGGTAGCCTCCTCAAATCTTGATGCTTACAGGGCTCTACTGAAAAGTGAATGTCTTCTAAACTGCAATCAGCACTCATAACCTGGAAATAATGAGTTTTGGAAACTAGAGCTGGGATCAGAGATGGCATTGAAGACACTTGTAGCCCTCCCGGTGTCCCCAGATAGCATGTTTTACTTTTAAGTGACAAACTAGGAAGGCGCTTCCCCAATGCCTGGATGTTGGTGGAAAAGAGGACCAGTTTTCTCACTGACATTCTTCTTTTCAATAGGGTAAGTAATTTCAGCTGTAAGAGTATTTATTTTTAACACCCCATGGGACTTCCTATGAATTATTTTCATGTTGAAGATAAAAAAGTTGAACCTATAACTATTTTTATTTTTTCAGAATGAGCTTGTAAAACATCTGGTTAATATTTTCCAAAGCTGAATCTATGCATACTCTACAAGCCACCAATCCCACTCCTGAGTAAATATTGCATAGAAATGAACCCTCATGTTCATCAAAGATGAGTCTTCACAGCAGACCTTATAGCCCCAAACCAGAAATGATGCAAAGGTCTAAAGTCTGAGTATGAGAATTAAATTATAGCTAAGCCTTAAAGCAAAGTACTACACAACAATGAATGAGCAGACCTCAATCACCCCAGGGATATGGAAGAATTTCACACCCATCTTGTTGAAGAGCAGAGTTTGTTCATAGAGAAATTCATTCTGCATGAGTTGAAGAAGACAGATTTCCAGTACAGGCACAACTCATGTCTGGTATTTTCAGATCTGCTCTGCCTTCTGTGCCAAGAGGCTGAATTGCGTGAATCATACCAGTAAGGTCCCTTGTTTCCTTATTTCCAGGTGGTTTGGTCAATTAGAAACTGGTAGGACATGATATGATTCCAAAATTCCCTAAATTAATAGGAGACTGGAGCCAGATGGGACACCCCCCAAATCAGAGGACTCTTGAATGGCCTAGATATTCCACAACCTGACTCTATCTTAGCCAGATTGTAAGAAACAGAGGGATCTTGCTTATATCCATGTTGCAGTTTAACGGCCAGTTGATCCATCTGTATAATGAAAAATTCCCAAGAATACTTAGGATACTGTCTTTCCAGGTTTATGTATATTTTTCAGAAACAAAGAAAAAAATAAAGTGTAGATATAAAGGGAATGGCCATAATATTTATGGGAAGAATGTACTACTGCTGCCCTTCTCTGGTCTCCTTTCAGCTGGTATCAGGCCATTGTCTCCCTTTGGACAGAGCTTTTTGGCTGATAGTTATGCGCTCATGAGTAACACCATTGTCAGTAATAGTTCATTCTTATTCTCCTACTAATAACTAGGATAATAGAGGACCTCAAGCATCACAATGCTTTAGGAATATCACTGGTAGGGATTTCTATGGAAAAAGCCACCATCATTGTGCTGATAATTAACTCATGCCTGGCACTTACAGTTTAGAGTCACATCATGTGCGTGCTTTATTTGTTCAGGCGTTTACTGCATTGTCTGACCCAGAAGAAATTGGAGCAGTGGAAGCAGCTACTTAGAATAATGGAGAAGATTTTGCTTTTTTCTTTTAGCCCTAGTTAGTGTCAGTACCTTTGTTAAAGTTTTTTTTTAACAAATGACCCTGTGGAACTGCCATTGGCAGAATCTCTATCTGACAATATAGAAACTGACGTTCAGAGTGGTTATGCAGCATTCCTGATGTTATGGGACAACATTGTCTAAAAGCAATGGAATCAGCCAGCCATGGACTGATATTTTTGCAATTGTGAACCAACATAACTCATGTATTCTTTTTTTTTTTTTTTTTAGATTTTTTGTGCCGTT